TTTGTGGTAGCCACAGTCAGTGTCAAGTGTGGGAACCAAAGCAACTACATAACTAGGGGGAGAGAAGACGAACCAAAGCAACTACATAACTAGGGGGAGAGAAGACAAGTTTGTGGTAGCCTCAGTGTCAAGTGTGGGAACCAAAGTAACTACATAACTAGGGGGAGAGAAGACAAGTTTGTGGTAGCCACAGTCAGTGTCAAGTGTGGGAACCAAAGCAACTACATAACTAGGGGGAGAGAAGACGAACCAAAGCAACTACATAACTAGGGGGAGAGAAGACAAGTTTGTGGTAGCCTCAGTCAGTGTCAAGTGTGGGAACCAAAGCAACTACATAACTAGGGGGAGAGAAGACAAGTTTGTGGTAGCCACAGTCAGTGTCAAGTGTGGGAACCAAAGCAACTACATAACTAGGGGGAGAGAAGACGAACCAAAGCAACTACATAACTAGGGGGAGAGAAGACAAGTTTGTGGTAGCCTCAGTCAGTGTCAAGTGTGGGAACCAAAGCAACACATAACAGGGGGAGAGAAGACAAGTTTGTGTAGCCACAGTCAGTGTCAAGTGTGGGAACCAAAGCAACTTCATAACTAGGGGAGAGAAGACAAGTTTGTGGTAGCCACAGTCAGTGTCAAGTGTGGGAACCAAAGCAACTACATAACTAGGGGAGAGAAGACAAGTTTGTGGTAGCCACAGTCAGTGTCAATGTGGGAACCAAGCAACTACATAACTAGGGGAGAGAAGACAAGTTTGTGGTAGCCACAGTCAGTGTCAAGGCTTCAAAACACCTTTATTGTACAGCAATAAAGGAATGGAACAGACTGCCTGCACATGTTAAAGTCAGTCATAACATGAACCAGTTCAAGAAGACAACCGTAAGGTACCTAATGAATGTAGCCACAGAAAGGTACCTAATGAATGTAGCCACAGAAAGGTACCTAATGATGTAGCCACAGAAAGGTACCTAATGAATTTAGCCACGAAAGGTACCAAATGAATGTAGCCACAGAAAGGTACCTAATGAATGTAGCTACAGAAAGGTACCTAATGAATGTAGCCACAGAAAGGTACCTAATGAATGTAGCCACAGAAAGGTACCTAATGAATGTAGCCACAGAAAGGTACCAAATGAATGTGGCCACAGAAAGGTACCAAATGAATGTAGCCACAGAAAGGTACCTAATGAATGTAGCCACACAAAGGTACCTAATGAATGTAGCCACAGAAAGGTACCTAATGAATGTGGCCACAGAAAGGTACCTAATAAATGTAGCCACAGAAAGGTACCAAATGAATGTAGCCACAGAAAGGTACCTAATGAATGTGGCCACAGAAAGGTACCTAATGAATGTAGCCACAGAAAGGTACCAAATGAATGTGGCCACAGAAAGGTACCTAATGAATGTAGCCACAGAAAGGTACAAAATGAATGTAGCCACAGAAAGGTACCTAATGAATGTAGCCACAGAAAGGTACAAAATGAATGTAGCCACAGAAAGGTACCTAATGAATGTAGCCACAGAAAGGTACCTAATGAATGTAGCCACAGAAAGGTACCTAATGAATGTAGCCACAGAAAGGTACCTAATGAATGTAGCCACAGAAAGGTACAAAATGAATGTAGCCACAGAAAGGTACCTAATGAATGTAGCCACAGAAAGGTACCTAATGAATGTAGCCACAGAAAGGTACCTAATGAATGTAGCCACAGAAAGGTACCTAATGAATGTAGCCACAGAAAGGTACCTAATGAATGTAGCCACAGAAAGGTACCTAATGAATGTAGCCACAGAAAGGTACCTAATGAATGTAGCCACAGAAAGGTACCTAATGAATGTAGCCACAGAAAGGTACCTAATGAATGTAGCCACAGAAAGGTACCTAATGAATGTAGCCACAGAAATGCACCTAATGAATGTAGCCACAGAAATGCACCTAATGAATGTAGCCACAGAAAGGTACCTAATGAATGTAGCCACAGAAATGTACCTAATGAATGTAGCCACAGAAAGGTACCAAATGAATGTAGCCACAGAAAGGTGCCTAATGAATGTAGCCACAGAAAGGTACCTAATGAATGTAGCCACAGAAAGGTACCTAATGAATGTAGCCACAGAAAGGTACCTAATGAATGTAGCCACAGAAAGGTACCTAATGAATGTAGCCACAGAAAGGTACCTAATGAATGTAGCCACAGAAAGGTACCTAATGAATGTAGCCACAGAAAGGTACCTAATGAATGTAGCCACAGAAAGGTACCTAATGAATGTAGCCACAGAAGGGTACAAAATGAATGTAGCCACAGAAAGGTACCTAATGAATGTAGCCACAGAAAGGTACCTAATGAATGTAGCCACAGAAAGGTACAAAATGAATGTAGCCACAGAAAGGTACCTAATGAATGTAGCCACAGAAATGCACCTAATGAATGTAGCCACAGAAATGCACCTAATGAATATAGCCACAGAAAGGTACCTAATGAATGTAGCCACAGACAGGCAGGAGAATGATTTTTTTTATATATTTAGCTAACACATGTAAATATAAATAACTAATTCTATCTTATTCCTAGTATATCACCTTTATAGTATAATAATAAGGCATTAAAAGGACCCCAATGGAAATAAGTCACTGATTGTGTTTTCCCAGGTTGTCTACACATATACTGCTATGTATGATAATCTATGTATATATATATATCTATGTATACCTGAATAAACTTATTATAGATTCGCGCATTGTGATGTTCTATTCTTAGTTGCTTCAATATTTTTTCACTAGAATTTTTAAGCTGTAATACAGTGTATAAAACTTAATATTTTTGTCTCTGATTGTTTTCCTAGTACTAGTATTTATTGTAATAATTATTTTGAGTAGTAATAAGGTTTATTAAAATGAATTGAGCTACTGTTATCAAACTTTGTGAAGAGTTTGTGTACAGTGTTGGAATTTTGCCCCAATAAGTTGGCGGGAAAAACTGTAAACAAGATGTTGGTGAAGTCACTTTTGTACGTTTGAAGACGTTTCTTCTGGGAAACGTTTCGCCCCGAGTGATTTCTTCAGTCTAAACACAGAGATAACTAAGAAAACTAGTATATATAGCGGCAGGAGTGTCCCGTTAACCCAGAAAACCACAGCAATTATGGAAATAAACGCAGGAAGAATATGCAGTTCCTAGTCAGCCTTCGAACATCCTTTTATTATACAATAAAATACCGGAGTAGACTTCCAGTCATGAGCCAGTTCAAGAAGACAGCCAAAATACACCCCCACCCCCATGAACATGGCTACAGAAACGTATCTTAATGACCGTCATAAGTGACTTCTTTCCACGGGTATGGCCCTTGTGGGTTTAGCGCTCGTAATCCTTCCGCGTGTCGTTATCATCACATTTAACGAGTTAGTTCGTAATTTGTGTTATTGTGTGTGTGTTATAAGCCCAAAAATATTGATATAAATGATTTTTGTGTAGTCCTACGGGTTTAGCGCTCCCCCGTGATTGTGAGAAAATTTTGTATAGCCTCTGGGGTGTCCTAGCCCTTTACTGGGGTGTCCTAGCCCTTTACTGGGGTGTCCTAGCCCTTTACTGGGGTGTCCTAGCCCTTTACTGGGGTGTCCTAGCCCTTTACTGGGGTGTCCTAGCCCTTCACTGGAGTATCCTAGCCCTTCACTGGAGTATCCTAGCCCTTCACTGGGGTATCCTAGCCCTTCACTGGAGTATCCTAGCCCTTCACTGGAGTATCCTAGCCCTTCACTGGAGTATCCTAGCCCTTCACTGGGGTACCCTAACCCTTCACTGGGGTATCCTAACCCTTCACTGGGGTACCCTAACCCTTCACTGGGGTACCCTAGCCCTTCACTGGGGTACCCTAGCCCTTCACTGGGGTACCCTAGCCCTTCACTGGAGTACCCTAGCCCTTCACTGGGGTACCCTAGCCCTTCACTGGAGTATCCTAGCCCTTCACTGGGGTACCCTAGCCCTTCACTGGGGTACCCTAACCCTTCACTGGGGTACCCTAGCCCTTCACTGGGGTACCCTAGCCCTTCACTGGGGTACCCTAGCCCTTCACTGGGGTACCCTAGCCCTTCACTGGGGTACCCTATCCCTTCACTGGGGTACCCTAGCCCTTCACTGGGGTACCCTAACCCTTCACTGGGGTACCCTAACCCTTCACTGGGGTACCCTAGCCCTTCACTGGGGTACCCTAACCCTTCACTGGGGTACCCTAACCCTTCACTGGGGTACCCTAACCCTTCACTGGGGTACCCTAACCCTTCACTGGGGTACCCTAGCCCTTCACTGGGGTACCCTAACCCTTCACTGGGGTACTCTAACCCTTCACTGGGGTACCCTAACCCTTCACTGGGGTACCCTAGCCCTTCACTGGGGTACCCTAACCCTTCACTGGCATACCCTAACCCTTCACTGGGGTGCCCTAACCCTTCACTGGGGTAGGATACCCATGCTATCCTACCCCTTTGAAAGGCTATTAAATGTGTGTCTTATAACTTGCCTTAATAATACCTATACATTATATATGTATTATTTAGACTATAAGTTGTATGATTATCACTAATCATACATTGTATGATTAGAGTCAGTTGTATGATTAGTGATAATTTAAGGTGTACAATGATTCTGGTTATGTATGAAGGGGAGGAGAGTAATTTCTTGTATATCTTAACATACATGTATTATGATCTTATCCTATTTTTAATATTAATGTAAATACAAGAGAGAGAGAGAGAGAGAGACTGAGAGAGAGAGAGAGAGAGAGAGAGACTGAGAGAGAGAGAGAGAGACTGAGAGAGAGAGACTGAGAGACTGTAACTGAATTTACCTTACCATTAATATATCTTTTATTATAACTACTTATACTTTTGTCCACTGAGTCTGTTCCTGAAGGAATAGACAGTATGGCATCATCGGGTGCTCTGTCGACCCTAGGGTGGGACTTGGGAGGCACCTGCATTTCATCACAATTCGTAACTTTCTCAACAGATGCAGTGAACATGGACAGTGCAAGAACGGTACATGTGTGTGCATGACAGGTTGGAATGGAAGGCACTGTACCCTCTCCGGCTGCCCAAGTAACTGTCGTAGCCGCGGTACCTGTGAGGCCACGGTGGATGGTACATGGTACTGCAGGTGCGAAACTGGCTGGGATGGCCCTGACTGCTCAGCCATGCTCGAAACGTTGTGTAATGACGGCAAAGATAATGACAGAGGTCTGTTTTATTTCTCATCACTTTAAATGTAACTAATTTCATGTTACAATATACAGTGGACCCCCGGTTAACGATATTTTTTCACTCCATAAGTATGTTCAGGTGCCAGTACTGACCGAATTTATTCCCATAAGGAATATTGTGAAGTAGATTAGTCCATTTCAGACCCCCAAACATACATGTACAAACGCACTTACATAAATACACTTACATAATTGGTCGCATTCGGAGGTAATCGTTATGAGGGGGTCCACTGTACATACAGCCTCTCCTCACTTAACAACACTCGTTTACTCACCACTCGGACTTACGACCAGCTCTCCAGCCAGTATACAAACCTAAGTAATGTATATTAGAGCTGATTTACTCTGTTTTGTTTATTATAGTATATACTACACTTCTGTATGAACATTTAAAAATATATGTACAGTGGACCCCCGCTTAACGATCACCTCCAAATGCGACCAATTATGTAAGTGTATTTATGTAAGTGCGTTTGTACGTGTATGTTTGGGGGTCTGAAATGGACTAATCTACTTCACAATATTCCTTATGGGAACAAATTTGGTCAGTACTGGCACCTGAACATACTTCTGGAATGAAAAAAGTTCGTTAACCGGGGGTCCACTGTACTAGAAATGTTACAAATGGTGCAAAGGCAACATTAAAAAAATATCTAAAGTTGGTTGATAAAATCCCACTACCAGTATAGCAGCTCCTCGCTTAACGACCAATTCGCCTACCGACCTACTCTTAGGAACAGAACCCCATCATTAAGTGTGGAGAAGCTGTATACATATACAGTAGGATCCCTGTATCAGAGGGGGATACATTCCAAGGACCTGCCATAAATACTGGAACCGTGGATAATAGCAAAGCCTATAAATAAGCCCTATACATAACCTGTTATAAAGTTTAATTAATAAATTATGCACAGTAAGTGGAGAATTATCACTTTTTCACTGATGGGAAGAAGTTGACAGCTTCTCTAAGGCTTTGAACAACTACCAACTTCTCTACGTTTTGCACTTTGGGATCATTATTATGCAAAATTAAGAGGTATTTTTGGGCCACAGTAAATCATGTATAATTGAAACCACAGATACCAAGTTAGTGGATATTGGGGTTCTACTGTATATACATATACATCACAGGTATCTTCATCGTGGTCTTATTCTTCCACAGATGGCTTGACTGACTGTCAGGATCCTGAGTGTTGCACACATCTGGCTTGCAATGGTTCACAACTTTGTGTCTCCAGAGCCTCATCTCCCATAGACATCCTCCTGAGGAAGCAGCCTCCGGCAGCCACCGCTTCCTTCTTTGAGAAGATGAAATTCCTCATTGAAGAGGACTCCCTCCAACACTTCACCAGCACTGATGCGTTCAATATGAGGTGAGCCGAATAACGAGGGCCAACGAGTTTTTATGTTAGTAGAAGAAATTGATCACACGCTTATCTCAGTCCGAAAGTTGCACTTGTTCATTGTCCACTAACATAGAATTGTAACAGTAGAAGTAATTGTTGTTGACTGTTTGGAGACATTAATGTATTAAAAATATTGCAGTTTAATATGTACATGAAGTGTAACATTCTTGATATTCATCTTTCACATTCTTTACCTACTGCTGTCCATTTGTTATAGAAGATTCAAATTGCAATAATCGATTATACACAAAAATTTTCATACTAGCATCTTTTTAACTCAAAATTTCAGTGACATCCACCACTACGTGGAAGCTGATTTATTACTAATACTGTTTTTGGCTTTAATTTTTCTCTATTTTTCTTTTTTCTCAAAAAGCTTTAGGTATATATGTTAGCTTAGGAATGATCATTTTTCTCTGTGGATGATAATTTTTTGCATTTTACTCCCCCGAGATATAAATAAAAAATGTAATAACCTTGTTTCCCCCCTCATATAAAACATAGTCTGATTACTATTTGTCTCAAAAAATATGCCATTAAAAACATTAGTATTTTTTTATGACTGTACTGCATCCCACGCGTAACATATGAGAATTGTTTGTGTTTGTTGATGCTGGGTGGCTCATCACATAGCGTAGTGACTGTACTTCAGAACTGCAGTTTGTTGTGGGTGTTACAGGGCTGAGGCGTAGTCAAATGAATGTTGCTGCAGTAGACTGTGGTAGATGACTGCCTCAGAGTCTACCCTCACGACTTTGTAAACACCAGGCTTCGAGGTATTGACTTGTGTGGTAGATACTTTGCATAGAGCGAGGCTTTAAAATAGCGCTGTTTTGCTCTCTGTAAGAGCTTAATGAAGTGATGTTTCTCTGTGTAAGACACTTCAGAACTTCATAAAACTCCTCCCAGAGCCAAACTTCACGTTCATTAAAGATTCACTCTACGCCAAATCTCTCTATTGTATTAGTCAGCAGTATCTGCCATCATACATTCTTTCTCTCTTATGTTGGCCGAATTCAGTCTTGCATGAAGCAGCTATCGTATGTGCTCCCACAATTCATCGTGTGACCCATGCGAAATACTCCTGATGAGAGATGTCTTCATTATGAACATAAGAGAGGAAGAAATGACAATTTACAAAGTTTCCCGTGAGGGGTGCGCCTCTGTGGTACGTGTTCTCAAGTACCTTGAGCTTGCAAGTACGTAGGAACAGAGGCACTAATTTCTAATACGTACTCATAATTAGGGGCTTCGAAAGCGTGAGTTTTCTCGTACATACTTCCACGTCTCTGTTTACTTGAGAAACCGTATGACTCGCCTTAGTTACAGGTAGTGTTGAAGTACTCTGCGGGTGGGTTGACCATGCAGAGTACTGGCTTAGCAGAATTGTATGGGGTACAAATGTTGGATGCATTATACCATGAGGATACAAGTATCATGTTGTACCTCTCATCCTACCCCGTTGCGAATCGAACCCCAACTTGTGTATCAGCAGCATTCGAATTTTTACCTAGTTGATACACACTTTTCCCAACTAATAAACAAAAATCATTTTAATATCTGATTATTAATAAAAATGTGGTAAATGATTATACATTCTCAGGCATTAATTAATGAGCTAATTAAATAAAGACAATGAATCATGGGTAGTCGTGCTTTTATGAATAACCCTAAAATGTGGAATAATAGGTAAATAGGACTATCCATGCAGCTTTTGATGTTTATTATATGCCTCAGATAGTTACAAGTGTCTGGTTGACACCGAATACTAATACCACATTGTGGGTATCCCCAATGTGGTTGAATGTGTCTGGTTGGCACTGTATACTAATACCACCTCTGTGAGTATCCTCAAAGTGGTTGACACGGTGGTCAATTGAGAACTTCCTCTCTGAGTTGCTTGTGAGTTGAGGCTCGGTACGCAACGGTGGTAAATGATGGACTGGTTTTCGTTAGCTTGTAGTAGACGTAGGTATGTGTGGGTTAACCGCGGCTTTCTCTCCGTGCTGCGTTCAGTGTTTTTCGGAACTACTTCCACCCGAGGTAAGATTAACCAAAAACCAAAAACAACCAATGAAGCACGTTTAGAAAGAGGAAAAGTCTTTATTTTTCTTATTGCATATTTACCTAGTTTTAAACACTTTCTTTCCCTCCAGTTTTTCCAGATCGAGTTAGCTGGCAACTCTGTATGATATATTGAAATTTTATTCTTAGTTGTTTAGTATCAACCTTATTTGCACTGCCATTTGAATATAGCTTATGTTTATTTTTCTCCTAGGAGGCGATGTAAATTTTTATATACTACATATCTTTTAGTAATTTGAGTGCTGGACTGCATGGAAGAATGTTTCAAAACATTCCTTTTTTTTTTTTTTCATTGTTTGCTTGCTATTCATTTTTTTAATCTTCCAGTCACTGTTATCATGATATATAAATCTCTGTAAAAATATATATATTTCACTTGGAAAAATTTTTAACTTTTGTCTCTAACACGGTTTGTCATTCTCACAGCCAAGCCTACTCATCTATTGGTCATATAATTACTGTCTGTTGACGTCCCTTTTTGCTGTCCCTCTCCTGTCTGTCTGTCTGTCTGTGATTGACATTGTGTCTCTTGAGTCCATAGTTTAAAAAAAGAAATTAACCCCATCATCTCCATTGCTTATGCTTTTGTTTCGTGATCACTGGATAATTCTCATCCATATTTACATCCTTTTACCCAACAAATACCTTATTTAACCACTTTTATTGTTTTAACGTTATTTTTATTGATAAAAGCTTTTTCAGTTATTTCATTTTAATTTGCTTATCTTCCTTACGTTAATTTTATTAACAAATTAACACCAGGTCTTCACATAGTGGCGGGAGTCGCTATACATTGATTTTGTATAAAATCACATAGACAAATTTTTATTTATGATTATTGCTATTATCATCAAGACAATAGCTTTGATACATATCTTAAACGTTCAACGACGTTTTTTTGCAGTAATAAAAGGTAGGTTAGGTAAGATGCGTCAGAAAAGAGGACAAATACGTCCAGACTTATGTCAGGAAACAGTCTCTTTTCCTGACAAAACTTTCCTAACCTTATCTTTTAAAAGGACAAACAGGCCGTTGAAAACTATAAACACTGGTGTCAAGACTATTGTCCTGACAAATGTTATAGTAACAATTGTAAATTTTGAATTGTAAACATTGTTAACGGGTAATCTGTATGATTAACACCCGTGTCTGGAAACGCTTTTTGTTTCCTGACTAATAAAACACTTTAAATTTTGTAATCAAATGTTGAATTTAGTTTTATTCATCTTAGATTTTTGCAATAAGCTTATTTCAAAGCTTTTTCCCTTCCTTTAACTTTGAAACTACATTCAGTCTATCTCAAAACTGTCATAGCTATTTGTGTTGAATATTATTAAGCTAAAATAAATGTTAGTTCACATTAAGGCAAAAACACGTTTTGCTCTGTGTACACTTGATAAAGCTGTACACAGTGTGAAACGTCGCACCAACAATGTACGACGTGTGTCTTCTAATGTTGTCTGCACACAGTTTGGATGCATTCAGAATTTTCAATATAACTTATTATGAAAAATAAATTTCAACTTTTTTTTTTTTGAAAGTTGCCTACGTTAACTGCTTTTAATATTTTATTACTATTGTTATTAAAGAATTCATTTTAACACATGCTAAAAATATTAATACATTTTTTAATATATGAAATATTCAAAATAAAAAAAAAATCCATAACTTTTGAATGCTTAATTAATATATCATAGTTACGTAACGCCTCACGTTGCTCCCAATGGAATTAAAAAATATATATAAAATATATTTTGAGCTTATAATATTGATTAGCTAATTGGCATGCACACTTACTTTTTGTATATTATGTTGCTGGTGCTTTCTATTTAAATGGAATTACATCATTTCTCCTGGTTTTTTCTTATTTCCATATATCACCCTGATCCTTTCTATACAATAAAAATTATGTGAGTGAGAATTTTTATGTACATTTTTGTTTAAGTTGCATAAGGCTTTTATCCAAAAAAAAATCATACATTGTTGTATTTTCATTGCTGAATTATGTAATCAATCATGAACCAAAAATTGAGTGAAAATCTATGACCACGGGTGAAATTGCATGGTTTGACTTGTAGTGCTTTACTGCTGACCCTAAGTGCATGATTGATGGTGTGTATTGTCAGTATTTTGCATGATTTTAACCCTCTGACTTCTCTTTGCTATGCCGAGCTTGAGCGAATGTGCTGATCTTTGTTAGTTGAGCAGAGCTAAAATCAGACTCTTGAGTGTCTCTCATAGAGAGAAGGGACAGATGGGCTGTTTACTGACACAGAGCTAAAGTCAGACTCTTGAGAGCGTCTCTCATAGACAGGAGGGACAGACAGGCTGTTTACTGACACAGAGCTAAAGTCAGACTCTTGAGAGCGTCTCTCATAGACAGGAGGGACAGATGGGCTGCTTACTGATGCAGAGCTAAAGTCAGACTCTTGAGAGCGTCTCTCATAGACAGGAGGGACAGACGGGCTGCTTACTGATATAACAGCAGCTATGGGAACCATAGATGAGTTTCTGTTTTGCTAAATTGTTTGACATCCACTGGAGGGGTTTTAATAGTGGTGATTTTGATGCGAGGACTGTGAGCGGTTTTCTCTACCTTGGATTAAATATGATTATACCTCCCACTCCCCAAGAGCTAAAAATTTTACAGAAGTTGAAAATTCTCCTACAAAAGCTGAAAATTCCTTCAAAATTTTGTAACTTGAAAAAAAAGTTGTATTCCATCTTATTCAATTTTGAGTCAATTTTTTCAGTTGTATTTGAAGAGAAACACTATATAGAAAAACTTATGGGAGAAATTACCATTGTTTGATAGTTAAATTGAAACCAAAATATAGAAAACAAATCACACTTTGGAGAGCGATTGACGATGTTTTGTTTGGGCAAAACGTCATGTCAACTTTCCCTCACATAAGTGCTGGTTATCTCTATTGTTAGAACCATGGTATTCTAACTCTATACTTTCTAGAAGTAGCTTTCCCTTAGAGGACCTTAAGTACTTTTCTATCTACTGCAACTTGCATGTGTTATGTGTGTATGGGTGTGTCCTTTAAGCACATGAGTGTTGATCTAAGAGCCTGTTAGTGCTGTCACAATGCATGCTACTTGTACATTATTATATTTTAGTCAGTATCATAATCAAACTTTCCACTACATATCAAATTCTCTCATTTCAAAATACTATATATTAATTGCAGTCCCATATATCAGTTTCAACTATTTCTAATTTTTTCCCACACATTGCAATCACAAAATTACGAGTTTTAATGAATATCTAAAGTATTAACTGTATCTTTATCTAATATAAATATGTAAATATATATATATATATATATACACACACATACACAAACAAACATTAACAGTCGATGTACAGTGAACCCCCGGCTTACGATATTATTTCATTCCAGAAGTGTGTTCAGGTGCCAGTACTGAACGAATTTGTTCCCATAAGGAATATTGTGAATTAGATTAGTCCATTTCAGACCCCCAAACATACACGTACAAACGCACTTACATAAATACACTTACATAATTGGTCGCATTGGGAGCTGATCGTAAACCGGGGGTCCACTGTATATATACAAAGGGTTACTAGCCCCTTGCTCCAGGCATTCTAGTTGCCTCTGTGACACGCATGGCTTACGGAGGAAGAATTCTGTTCTACTTCCCCATGGGGGTGATGACAGATGCAATCTTCCCAAGTGGATATCAGATCCTGAGAAAAGCCAGGGAGGAACAGAGGGGAAAGGTGGAGTTGCACTGCTCGTCAAAAACTAATGGAAATTGAGGAGATGAGAGCACTAGGCAGAGGTTTATGTTCCTATGTAGTAGGAATACTTCTAACTGGGGGTCCAAAAGAAGAGTCTGAGGAGACCAAGACAAGAGTCTGATATGAGCAACAGAGCAGTGATGGACACTAGCAGAGGTGCCAGAATGGCCCCACATGGGCAGGGCAAAGTTAGTCATTATGGGGGATTTCAACCACAGTGAGAGTGAATGGGAAAATCTGGAGCCACATGGGGAGCCAGAAACATAGAAGGCTAAGATGAAGGAGGCACTACTGGAAAACTTTATATACCAACATGTTAGGGAAACAACCAGAGCGAGAGAGAGAGAGAGATAAGAGGATGAACCAACAAGGCTGGACCTAGTATTCACCTTGAACACTTCAGATAGAGGGGATATTACACATGAAAGGCCCCTCAGCACTAGCAATCATGTGGTCCTGAGCGAAGCAACACGAAAAGGACAGGAGAAGCCAGACTTCCAAACAAGATACAACACAAGTATGAGGCAATTCCTGCATGAGATAGTGGATGGTAAAGAACTAGAGGAGAAGACAGTAAGTGAAATGATGGAACACGTGACCACAAAGTGCCGGGAGGCAGAGAAGTTCATGCCAAGGGGCATCAGAAACAATGGAAAGACCAGAGTGTGTCCATGGTTTACCTGGAGGTGTAAAGGGGCCAAAGCCAAGTGTGCTAAAGCATAGAAAGGTATAGAAGGCAAAGGACTCAAGAAAACAAAGAGTTGAGCAGAAGATCCAGAAGTGAATATGCATGGATAAGGAGAGAGGCCCAGCAGCAATACAAGAGTGACATAGCATCAAAAGTCAAATCTTACCCAAAATTATTTTACAGCCACATCAGGAGGAAAACAACAATCAAGGACCAGGTAATCACACTGAGGAACAAAGGAGGGGGAGATCACAGGGAGCAACCAGGAATTGTGTGAGGAGCTCAACTCAAGATTCAGGGAATTGAGGCAGTAGGGTGCACCAGCAAGTGCTGGACACAGTTCACACAACTGATGAAGTGAAGAAACTGCTAGGTGAACTAGATACCTTGAAGGCAATGGGCCCAGATAATGTCTCCCCATGGGTCCTGAGAGAGGGAATAGATGCACTGCATGTGCCATTAACAACATCTTCAATAAATCTATCTAAACAGGGCAGCTGCCTGAGGTGTGGAAGACAGCAAATGTACTCCCGAGTTTTAAGACAGAAGACAGACAGGCAGCATTAAACTGCAGACTGCTGTCACTGACATGTATAGTGTCTAAAGTTATGCAAGAGATTATAGAGAGAAGAGTGGTGGAGTACCTAGAAAAGAATGGGGTTATACATGACAACCAGCACAGCTTCAGGGAAGGAAAATTCTGCATCACAAACCTACTGGAGTTCTACGACAAGGTAACAGAAGTAAGACAGGAGAGAGAGGGATGGGTAGACTGCATCTTCTTGGACTAAGAAGACCTTTGACACAGTACCACACAAGGGGTTAGTTGAAAAGCAAGAGGAGCAGGAATAACAAAGTACTGCAGTGGATCAAGGAATACCTGACAGGAAGGAAACAATAAGAAATGTTGGCAGAAAGTATTGTCCACTTCAACTATCTTAACCCTTAAACGGTCCAAACGTATATATACGTTTTTTCAACATCTGAAAGTATGTAAAACAAATGTAGATCTTCTTTTTTGTTTTACATTTGAAAATGTGTAAAAAAAAGTAGGTCTACTTTCGTAGCTACGAATTTGAAAGTCGATTTGTTTGGACCGTTTAAGGGTTAAATTCTAACTTTCTTAGTACACAAAAGGAATGTCAATAAATGGTACAGAAAACCGACAGGTTAATGAATTAGACACTTTCGCATCACTTGGGTATATTTATAGTGGAAATGTTTTGCTACACAGTCGCTTCATCAGTCCAATACAGGGTAGAATGATTGAAGATGAGAGGGAGTTTGAGGTAATCAGTCCCTCAGCCTGGAGTTGATGTAATCTTTTTAAGATCGATGGACTGACCACATCGACTCCAGACAGAGGGACTGATTACCTCAGATTCCTTCTGATCTTCAACCACTTTTCTCTGCATTTGACTGAAGAAGCCACTGGTTGGCAAAATGTTTTCAAAACAAAGATACCCAAGTGTTGCACACGTGTCTAAACAACAACATAAACATGTAGTAAACATGCGACTCCTGCATCCATAGTGCCTCTGTACTAAGGACACTGTTAGAAATACTGGCATTGTGTGACCAGCAGCAATAGCCTGGTTAATCAGACCCTGATCCATCATGAGGCCTCGTCTCGGATTGGGTCGCAGGGGTGTTGACCCCTGAAACAGTCTCCAGGTAGTCCCCTGGACATCCTGGCACTATTTGGACAGTACTGGCACTCATGGGGGCGATTGTTTTCTCACTGGTGATTGTCTCACAATACCTGGAACGATTGTAGGTCTGCCTTTCGCAAGTTTTTGCATTTGTGGGAAGGCAAATCAAGGTGTTAGTACTGAGAAAATCTCTTATTGACTTAAAGACTGATGAAACAAGGGTGGCCAGCAAATGAGGAGACACATTCACCATAATTCACTCAATTGCTGTCTTGCCAGATGAATAATAACTGTTTAGATGGCTCTCTGAACTACAACCTCCCCCACTCCTCAAGATTGCTGGCACCATACTTCTTCCTCCAGGACTCAAGTCCGGCTAACTTATTTCACTGAATCCCTTCATTAACCCGTAAACGGTCCAAACGTATATATACGTTTTTTCAACATTTGAAAGTATGTAAAAAAAGTAGATCTTTTTTTTGTTTTTCTACATTTGAAAATGTGTAAAAAAACTTTGATCTACTTTTTTTTTTGTTATATTTGAAAATATGTAAAAAAAACGTAGATCTACTTTCGTAGCGCTACACATGTGAACGTAGATCTGCTTGGACCGTTTACGGGTTAATGTTACCTTGTTTACACCACAACACCACATTATCATACAAAATCACTTATCTCCACTCCCATTTAATGTGCTTGCACAAGCCTGCTGGATGTCCAAGCCTCAGGCTCTTAAAACTTACCCTCGAATACTCACACCAACATAAAATGTTTGTATTTCTGTCATTACTGTAAAGTCTAGATATGTACAGAGGATGGTACAGAGGATGTAGGTCTTGCCTATGGCCAAGTAAGCACAGAACATGTAGTGGAATTCTCTGTACCAGGATTCTAGGATATAGTTAGAATGGAGAGGTCTTCTACAACACCAACATTTGCCTAACCTATTGACATGACCTCCCACTAGTAGACTCTGCCCACTTGTGATGCCATCTTCAACTGCTACACCTTGCATTTATATCATGGGCTGTCATATAACACACACAATGGCCTAAGTGTAATAAGAGTCCTACATCTCAAAACCACATACGGAATTACATTGGCCTCAGCTCTTGTCTCAACTTCCCAAGATCATCAGTGGTCAGTGGGACCAAACCACCATGATGGATATTAAAATGTAATCAGTCCATCACCCATCTTCACATCTCTTCTATCAACTTTTCTGTGCTCGACTGAAGAAGCCTACTCTGTAGGCGAAACGTTTCAAAATAAAGATACCTAACTGTTGCATATGTGTCTTGCCTAACAACCTGTCGGTATTTTATACCATTTTAATATCCACTGTCAGACACTGCAACACAATGGTATCTTGGTACAAAACAGAAAACAACTTGGACAACTTCTGCTAGTGAGAATGGCTGGATTTGAGAGGGACGTGACCTCCCAACGGCTACATTCTTACCTCTACTAATGGCCTACATCTCACCTCCTGGTGGTATATAAAGCTCCATCCTGTCACTTCAACTCCATATTGTTGCAGACAATGGAACAATACTCTTCTCCAGACTGAGGGACTGACCACCTCAAAACATCAAGGGTGATGGACTGATTACATCGTTTTCATTCATGTCTCTTCTATCAACTTTTCTGTACTCGACTGAAGAAGCTTACTGTGTAGGCGAAACGTTTCGAAATAAAGATACCTAACTGTTGCATATGTCTTACCTAACAAACCACCATGATACTGGTGCTTTGCCAGGACCATCATGGGAGCAAATCCTCACTCTGCCTATGAGTAAATGACTGTGTCATTTACACGAGTAATTCGATATTCAAATGCTTTGTTCCATAAAAAACGCGTTCGGTAGTCGACCATTTGCTCAGCACTCGACCAAACAAACAGAACCTGCCAGAACTTCGATGTAAACTATTTCGTGTTTTTTCTTATTTTTTGGTGTTTTTTTATGTTGTATAAATAAGTCGCCATGAGACCTAAGAAGATTAGTTATAACAGCCAACCAAAAGAAAACTGGTTGGGAAAAATTTATTTGGTACTCGAACAGATCGGCATTCGAACAGCCTTCTGGAACTAATTAAGTTTGAACACCGAGGTACTACTGTATGTGTATACACACACACACACACACACACACACACACACACACACACACACACACACACACACACACACACAACAAGACTAGTCCCAGAGCTAAGAGGTATGTCCTACGAGGAGAGGTTAAGGGAAATCAACCTGACGACACTGGAGGACAGGAGAGATAGGGGGGACATGATAACGACATACAAAATACTGAGAGGAATTGACAAGGTGGACAAAAACAGGATGTTCCAGAGATTGGACACAGTAACAAGGGGACACAGTTGGAAGCTAAAAACACAGATGAATCACAGGGATGTTAGGAAGTATTTCTTCAGCCACAGAGTAGTCAGTAAGTGGAATAGTTTGGGAAGCGATGTAGTGGAGGCAGGATCCATACATAGCTTTAAGCAGAGGTACGATAAAGCTCACGGCTCAGGGAGAGTGACCTAGTAGCGATCAGTGAAGAGGCGGGGCCAGGAGCTCGGACTCGTCCCCCGCAACCTCAACTAGGTGAGTACAACTAGGTGAGTACACACACACACACACACACTGACACTATATATATATTTACATATAACTTTATTAGCAGTTTCTCCTGTTAATAATTCTCACGAATTACCTAATTGTAAATTGATTTTGAAGAAAAATATTGATTTTGAATTAGAACCAAGCATGTAACCTGCAGTCAACCAAAACTGTCCCACACTCTTCTATCTTTAAAAAAAATTCTCCTTAATTAGCTGCCTAACCTTCATTTTTAATATATATATATATATATTATATTATATATATATATATATATAGATAATATATATATATAATATATATATATATATATATTGATTTAGATATTAGTTACATTTTTTTGTCAACTTGTATAAATTCTGTTTTTCATATGGGATTATTTTGACTTTTTAAATTACAAACTGAATAAGGGTTAATTATCATATTGAATTACTTTTATTAAGACTGAAATGCCATTTAAGTAATTGATAGAAGTTCAGTAATCTCTTAGTGACTTTCTTAAGTCAGATTGTTTAAGTCATTACTCTTGTAAAGTTACATTTTTTATCTCAGTCAATTACATTCTTGAAATATGTGAAATTACATTATTTTTTTTTTTTTCAAATAGAATTTTCTAATCTTTGGTAATTTCAAAATTTCATAATTTTTTTTTATCTGTGATTTTGAGATTTTCCAGCGAATGGTATTACATTTTCCTTCTGTTCTCTCTCTCCCATTTCTCACCATTGTTTCTCATCCCCTTTTCTTAAACTATGCATTCTCTGTCTTGCTTTCTCATCCTTCTTCACTCCCTCTGTCTCTACCTTCTGTTTCTTTAACCCACTTTTCTCTCTGTATTTCTTCTTATCACAGGGCCAATCTCCATCCCTCAGACTATGTCCTTGCTATCTTGCTATCTCCTATACATAGTCCTCAGACTATATCCTTGCTAATATAGCCCTCAGACTAAATCCTTGCTGTCCACCCTATCCATAATCCTCAGACTACATCCTTGCTAACATAGCCCTTGGACAATATCCTTGCTAACATAGCCCCTCATACTATATCCTTGCTATCCACCCCATCTCAGGGACCAATCCTTCCTGGCCCCTCTGTGTAACTTACACATATATCCTCCCGTGACTGTAAGAACCGTGTATACACGGGTGTGTGACGTGTGTATATGCTGGTGTCTGGTACAGGAGAGCAGCTGTGGTCCGAGGTCGGGTCGTGACCCGAGCTGGAAGAGGCGTGGTAGGCCTAAGAGTAGCCACCATGGAGAATCAAGAAGGCTTCACTCTTACAAGACGCGATGGTTGGTTTGACATTATGGTTAATGGTGGAGGAGCCGTGACTTTGACATTTGGGAAACCTCCTTTCAGTCCTAAAACGGTGAGCATGTATCATGTATTTTGACCAGTAAGACACATGGGTAACAGGTATACATTTATTGCTAAAAGGTCTTAATAAGTTCCATCTAGAGTTCTTTATCACTGATGGAACTTATTAAGTTTCATCTCTCAAACAATGGGATGAAGATTCCATAGGACGAAGTTCATAAGGTATATTGATACGAAAAAGTTACGTTGATGCGAGGTTTTTTTAATGTAAGACAAATTGATTAGAGCAATTTGACAGGATATCTTGATTCTAGTGACTTTTTTTTATACGATTCAGGATTATTTTTTAAAACAGTTTGTGACAGAACCAACTAGAGGAAATAACCTGCTTGAATTGGTTCTTACCAACAAGGAATCCTTAATTAATATTCTTGAGGTTAATGATGAGCTTGGGGAAAGTGATCACAAATTAGTATCAGTATATCATGGAATTACTACAGTCAAGGAGGCTTTAGGAAAGGTAGGGGGTGTGTGGACCAGGTGTTTACAGTGAAACATATAAGTGAACAGTATTTAGATAAGGCTAAAGAGGTCTTTGTGGCATTTATGGATTTGGAAAAGGCGTATGACAGGGTGGATAGGGGGGCAATGTGGCAGATGTTGCAAGTGTATGGTGTAGGAGGTAGGTTACTGAAAGCAGTGAAGAGTTTTTACGAGGATAGTGAGGCTCAAGTTAGAGTATGTAGGAAAGAGGGAAATTTTTTCCCAGTAAAAGTAGGCCTTAGACAAGGATGTGTGATGTCACCGTGGTTGTTTAATATATTTATAGATGGGGTTGTAAGAGAAGTAAATGCGAGGGTCTTGGCAAGAGGCGTGGAGTTAAAAGATAAAGAATCACACACAAAGTGGAGTTGTCACAGCTGCTCTTTGCTGATGACACTGTGCTCTTGGGAGATTCTGAAGAGAAGTTGCAGAGATTGGTGGATGAATTTGGTAGGGTGTGCAAAAGAAGAAAATTAAAGGTGAATACAGGAAAGAGTAAGGTTATGAGGATAACAAAAAGATTAGGGGATGAAAGATTGAATATCAGATTGGAGGGAGAGAGTATGGAGGAGGTGAACGTATTCAGATATTTGGGAGTGGACGTGTCAGCGGATGGGTCTATGAAAGATGAGGTGAATCATAGAATTGATGAGGGAAAAAGAGTGAGTGGTGCACTTAGGAGTCTGTGGAGACAAAGAACTTTGTCCTTGGAGGCAAAGAGGGGAATGTATGAGAGTATAGTTTTACCAACGCTCTTATATGGGTGTGAAGCGTGGGTGATGAATGTTGCAGCGAGGAGAAGGCTGGAGGCAGTGGAGATGTCATGTCTGAGGGCAATGTGTGGTGTGAATATAATGCAGAGAATTCGTAGTTTGGAAGTTAGGAGGAGGTGCGGGATTAACCAAAACTGTTGTCCAGAGGGCTGAGGAAGGGTTGTTGAGGTGGTTCGGACATGTAGAGAGAATGGAGCGAAACAGAATGACTTCAAGAGTGTATCAGTCTGTAGTGGAAGGAAGGCGGGGTAGGGGTCGGCCTAGGAAGGGTTGGAGGGGGGGGGTAAAGGAGGTTTTGTGTGCGAGGGGCTTGGACTTCCAGCAGGCATGCGTGAGCGTGTTTGATAGGAGTGAATGGAGACAAATGGTTTTTAATACTTGACGTGCTGTTGGAGTGTGAGCAAAGTAACATTTATGAAGGGATTCAGGGAAACCGGCAGGCCGGACTTGAGTCCTGGAGATGGGAAGTACAGTGCCTGCACTCTGAAGGATGGGTGTTAATGTTGCAGTTTAAAAACTGTAGTGTAAAGCACCCTTCTGGCAAGACAGTGATGGAGTGAATGATGGTGAAAGTTTTTCTTTTTCGGGCCACCCTGCCTTGGTGGGAATCGGCCGGTGTGATAATAAAAAAAAATAAAAAAAAATCTCTGTCTCTGACTTCCACTTGCCCAGTTTCATAGGACTGAGAAATTACTTGGGTGGGTTGAACTGGAATGACCTGACTATGGGTCAGGTAGGTAGTGATGTTGCCGATGACATTTTCCAGAGCATAGTTCTAGCTGCTCAGAGAGCTTATGTTCCAAACGGGGAAATTAGATCAACCATATATGACCCAAAATAGATAAACAAGAGATTAAAAATCTCATAGGTCAAAAGAGATGCATTTAAAAGCAAATCAGAAAGAGAAGATGGACAGTTAAGAAATCATTGTATTCAAATAAAGATAAAAAAAGGAATAAAAGTGAAGAGAGATTATGAAGTTAAAATCACAAAGATTCAAGAATTAACCCCAAAAGGTTTGTTTCAGGTATATAGAAGTAAGATTATGGACAAGATAGGCCCAGTCAAAACTCACTATGTCAGCTCGCTCAGTGATAAAGAAACGAGTAGAACTTTCAACACTTACTTCCTCTCAGTTTTTATGCAGGAAGATACTAGTGAAGTTCCAGAAATAATAAATTATGTAGAACAGGAGGAAAATAAGTTGTACACAGAGTAACTAGTGATATGGTTTTTAGATAAATGGCTAAATTAAAATCTAGCAAATCCCCAGGTCCTGATGAACTGTTTGCAAGGGTTTTAAAGGAATGTAAAGAGGAGCTTAGCAGACCTTTGGTTAATACAGTATTTTCAACATATCATTACAAACTGGCATATGCCTATTTAAGGGAAAATGGTAAATGTGATACTTATCTATAGAGCAGGAGACAGGTCCTTAGTTTCAAATTATAGACCAATAAGCTTAACCTCCATAGTGGGAAAATTGATGGAATCAATAATTGCCAAGGCTATCTGAAGCCAACTTGAAAGATATAAATTGATTAATGAATCTCAGCACGGTTTTACCAAGGAGGTGTTTCTGCCTTACGATTATACTAACTTTTTCACTGAGGCATTTGAGGAGGTAGATCATGGTAATGCACATGTTATTTTGAATATGGACTTCAGTAAGGTTTTTGATAGAGTTCCACATCGGAGGGTATTGAGGAAAGTAGAGGAACACGGAATAGGAGGAGCAATTGTTTCCTGGATAGAGGCGTGGCTGACAGATAGGCAACAGAACAGAGAGTTTGCACAAACGGGGAGAAATCAGAGTGGGGAAGTGTCGCAAGTGGTGTTTCAAGGGTCAGTGTTGGGTCCTTTGTTGTTCACAATTTACATAAACGAGGTAATAAATAGCGTAATAAGCAAGTTTTCCAATGACACCAAAATAGGCTGTCGAATTAATTCTGACGAAGATACTTGAGTGCTCCAGGAAGATCTGAATAGACTGGTGCAGTGGTTGGAGAAGTGGCGGATGCAGTTTAACATACACGAATGCAAAGTTCTAAGTGTTGGGAAGATAAATAACCATGATACTTATAAGATGTTGCAGGTGAATGGTGTAGGAGGTAGGTTACTGAAAACAGTGAAGAGTTTTTACGAGGATAGTGAGGCTCAAGTTAGAGTATGTAGGAAAGAGGGAAATTATTTCCCAGTAAAAGTAGGCCTTAGACAAGGATGTGTGATGCCACCGTGGTTGTTTAATATATTTATAGATGGGGTTGTAAGAGAAGTAAATGCGAGGGTCTTGGCAAGAGGTGTGGAGTTAAAAGATAAAGAATCACACATAAAGTGGGAGTTGTCACAGTTGCTCTTTGCTGATGACACTGTGCTCTTGGGAGATTCTGAAGAGAAGTTGCAGAGATTAGTGGATGAATTTGGTAGGGTGTGCAAAAGAAGAAAATTGAAAGTGAATACAGGAAAGAGTAAGGTTATGAGGATTACAAAAAGATTAGGTGATGAAAGATTGGATATCAGATTGGAGGGAGAGAGTATGGAGGAGGTGAATGTATTCAGATATTTGGGAGTGGACGTGTCAGCGGATGGGTCTATGAAAGATGAGGTGAATCATAGAATTGATGAGGGGAAAAGGGTGAGTTGTGCACTTAGGAGTCTGTGGAGACAAAGAACTTTGTCCTTGGAGGCAAAGAGGGGAATGTATGAGAGTATAGTTTTACCAACGCTCTTATATGGGTGTGAAGCATGGGTGATGAATGTTGCAGCGAGGAGAAGGCTGGAGGCAGTGGAGATGTCATGTCTGAGAGCAATGTGTGGTGTGAATATAATGCAGAGAATTCGTAGTTTGGAAGTTAGGAGGAGGTGCGGGATTACCAAAACTGTTGTCCAGAGGGCTGAGGAAGGGTTGTTGATGTGGTTCGGACATGTGGAGAGAATGGAGCGAAACAGAGTAACTTCAAGAGTGTATCAGTCTGTAGTGGAAGGAAGGCCTAGGAAAGGTTGGAGGGAGGGGGTAAAGGAGGTTTTGTGTGCGAGGGGCTTGGGTTTCCAGCAGGCATGCGTGAGCGTGTTTGATAGGAGTGAATGGAGACAAATGGTTTTTAATACTTGACGTGCTGTTGGAGTGTGAGCAATGTAACATTTATGAAGGGATTCAGGGAAACCGGCAGGCCGGACTTGAGTCCTGGAGATGGGAAGTACAGTGCCTGCACTCTGAAGGAGGGGTGTTAATGTTGCAGTTTAAAAACTGTAGTGTAAAGCACCGTTCTGGCAAGGCAGTGATGGAGTGAATGATGGTGAAAGTTTTTCTTTTTCGGGCCACCCTGCCTTGGTGGGAATCGGCCTGTGTGATAATAAAAAAACTTATAAACTAAATAATCAAGATCTTAATATCACTGATTACGAAAAAGATTTAGGTGTTCTGGTTAGCACTAGTCTAAAACCAGGACAACAGTGCACAAGTGTTCACAATAAAGTGAATAAAATTCTTGGCTTCATATCAAGAAGTATAAATGGAAAACAGGAATAAATAAAGGGGATGTGTGCTGAAAATTTCCATCCAAGACAGGACTCGCAGCAATGGTTTCAAGTTGGAAAAATTTAGATTCAGGAAGGATATAGGAAAGCACTGGTTTGGTAATAGCGTTGTAGATGAGTGGAACAAGCTCCTGAGTACAGTTATTGAGGCTAAAACATTGTGTAGTTTTAAAAATAGGTTAGATAAATACATGAGTGGGTGTGGGTGGGTGTGAGTTGGACCTGACTAGCTTGTGCTGCTGGGTCTGGTGCAGTGCTCCATCCTTGAGTGGGGATGACCAGACTGGGTGGGTCATTGGGATAATCTGGGGGGTGGGTCATTGGTCTAATCCGGAGGGGGGGACATGGACCTGCTCCGCATGGGTCAGTAGGCCTCTTGCAGTGTTCCTTCTTTCTCATGTTCTTAAATAACAGGAATCCTCATGTTGTTTTTCATCTCTATGTTTTTCATCTCTATGTTATAGGTAGTAGGTTGGTAGACAGCAACCGCCCTGGGAGGTACTACCGTCCTGCCAAGTGAGTGTAAAACGAAAGCCTGTAATTGTTTTACATGATGGTAGGATTGCTGGTGTCCATTTTTCTGTCTCACAAACACGCAAGGTTTCAGGTACATCTTGCTATTCTACTTACACTTAGGTCACACTACACATACATGTACAAGCATATATATACACACCCCGCTGGGTTTTCTTCTATTTTCTTACTAGTTCTTGTTCTTGTTTATTTCCTCTTACCTCCATGGGGAAGTGGAACAGAATTCTTCCTCCGTAAGCCATGCGTGTTGTAAGAGGCGACTAAAATGCCAGGAGCAAGGGGCTAGTAACCCCTTCTCCTGTATATATTACTAAATGTAAAAGGAGAAACATTCGTTTTTCCTTTTGGGCCACCCCTCCTCGGTGGGATACGGCCGGTGTGTTAAAAGTTAAAAAAAAAAAAAAAAGTATCGTTGGTTAAGCCTCATTTAGATTATGCTGCACAGTTCTGCTCATATTACAGAATGGATATAAATGCTCTGGAAAGCATACAGAGAAGGATGACAATGCTGTTCCCATGTATTAGAAATCTTTGCTATGAAGATAGACTGGGGCCCTGAATCTGCACTCTCTAGATAGGCATAGAATTAGGGGGAATATGATTGAGGTTTGATAAATTAGACACATGTGCAACTCTTGGGTATCTTTATTGAGGAAACGTTTCGCCACACAGTGGCTTCATCAGTCCATACAAAGGAGAATCTTGAAGAACAGGAGGAGAATGAGGTGATCAGTCCCTCAACCTTGAGTCGATGTGGTCAGTCCATCAATCTTTCTATTCAAGATTGATGGACTGACCACATCGACTCAAGGTTGAGGGACTGATCACCTCATTCTCCTCCTGTTCTTCAAGATTCTCCTTTGTATGGACTGATGAAGCCACTGTGTGGCGAAACGTTTCCTCAATAAAGATACCCAAGAGTTGCACATGTGTCTAATTTATCAACATGTCGGTTCTCTGAACCATTCATCTACATGATTGAGGTTTGTAAATGGAAAACAGGAATAAATAAAGAGAATGTAAATAGTGTGGTAAAAATATCTAACAAAGACAGTAATGGTTTCAAGTTGGAAAAAATTTAGGTTTAGAAAGGATTTAGGAAAGCACTGGTTTGGTAATAAAGTTGTAGATAAGTGGAACAAACTGCCAAGTAACGTCATTGAAGCTAAAACCTTTTGTAGTTTTAATAACATCTTAGAACCAACGTTACTGAATCCAGTCTCCTCTCTCCAAAATTGACAGAATTAACTTCAGACTTTCTCAGGAACATTTGTATCAATGTTTTCTAATTCATTGTCTTTTTCTTACATCCATTGACAGTCATTGGTCAGAGTAAATGTCCTGAGGTTCAAGCCTTCATTGCACAGTCAAACGTGTGACTTTCCCTGGTTTTTCCACTTAGCATAATCAATAAGGCAAACTTATGCCTGCCACAGATTTGCGTGATGGTCCCATGGAACGAGGTGGTCGTACTGGACGACATCATGATGACCGTAACAGGACTCTCAAACAACGACCATACGAACGACTACCACGACCACCAGCAACGACAACTCACCTCCCACTGCCCCCTCCACGACTACGACCTACTGCGACCAGTTGTAATGGCGACCTGGCAAAATGTTTTCCAAGGAGAATGTCCAGATGTAGACGCTATTCTTGTAGAGTCGCAAGCTGTACAAGAATCTGTACAAATCCCTGGGACTGGAATGTACTTGGTCTACCATTCATCCAGGTAAAGATAATTTGATAGGAAATTTACAATTCAATTACTAAAGTAATTCACAACTAAAACTTCTCTTTCATATGGAGGTGTGTATACCTCAGTGTATATGCAGTGAGGTGTGTATATCTCAATGTATATACAGGGGGTGTGTATATCTCAGTGTATATGCAGTGAGGTGTGTATATACAGTGAGGTGTGTATGTCTCAGTGTATATACAGTGAGAGGTATGTATATCTCAGTGTATATACACTGAGATATGTATGTATCTTTATATACTCTGAGATCAGTGTATATACAGTGTGAAGTGTGTATCTCTCGGTTTATAAACAGTAAGAGGTGTGTAACCCTGTGTAAATTCACATGCAGCCTTAATAACTAGTAGATAGTAGTGAAACCTAATCAACCTCCTTTGTCTTTCTGGAATATATTTGTTTCGTTACCATTTTTAATCCATCCTTCATTTTTCTCTTTTATTTCCTTCCATCCACCTTTTCATCTTGTCAATTCATTCTCTAGGCTAAATTTTTCATTTTTTACGTACAGCCTCTCCTTACGGAGTTCCGTTAACCCTTAAACGGTCCGAACGTATATATACGTTTTTTCAACATCTGAAAGTATGTAAAAAAATTTAGATTTTTTTTTTGTTTTACATGTGAAAACGTGTAAAAAAACTTTTATCTACATTTTTTTTGTTATACAGTGGACCCCCGCATAGCGATTTTAATCCGTGCAAGAGGGCTCATTGTTATGCGAAATGATCGGTATGTGAATGAATTTTCCCCATAAGAAATAATGGAAATCAAATTAATCCGTGCAAGACACCCAAAAGTATGAAAAAAAAAATTTTACCACATGAAATATACATTTTCCTACACACAAAGAGAAGGATACATGCACAATAGTAGAGTAGTACATGCACAGTATATATTGTGCATGTACTACTCTACTAAATGAAGAATAAATGACACTTACCTTTATTGAAGATGCAGCAATGACTGATGAGACACAGTGTCCTGGGAGTGCCTTTTCCTCCTGAGTACTGTAGGTCCTGTTTGGCATTTTCTTCCAGAACAGGCCTTATCACACTGTGTATGCCCCTACGATTCTTAAATCTCTCAAACCAACCTTTGCTGGCTTTAAATTCACCAATATGAGCACTAGTTCCAGGCATTTTTCCCTGTTCGCCTGGGTGTTAGTCGACTGGTGTGGGTTGCATCCTGGGAGACAAGATTAAGGACCCCAATGGAAATAAGTTAGACGGTCTTCGATGACACTGACTTTTTTGGGTTATCCTGGGTGGCAAATCCTCTGGGGTTAATTGTTTCTTGGTATTCTCAATAAGCCACACCAACAACGGTGCTACAGCAGCAGCAGCAGCTGACAGTGCTACAGCAGCAGCAGCAGCTGACGGTGCTACAGCAGCAGCAGCAGCAGCTGACAGTGCTACAGCAGCAGCAGACGATGCTACAGCAGCAGCAGACGATGCTACAGCAGCAGCAGCAGCTGACGGTGGTACAGCAGCAGCAGCAGCTGACAGTGCTACAGCAGCAGCAGACGATGCTACAGCAGCAGCAGACAGTACTACAACAGCAGCAGCAGCAGCTGACGGTGGTACAACAGCAGCAGCAGCTGACAGTGCTACAGCAGCAGCAGACGATGCTACAGCAGCAGCAGACGGTACTACAGCAGCAGCAGCAGCTGATGGTGGTACAGCAGCAGCAGCAGCTGTACCACCAATAGTAGCGATGGTTGATTGGAGTTTATTATACAACCTGGCCAGCTCGGAGACACGCACTCCACTTTCATACTTATCAATGATCTTTTTCTTCATCTCTATAGTAATTCTCACCCTTATTGCTGTAGGGTTGGCACTAGAAGCTTTCTTGGGGCCCATGGTCACGTATTTTGCAGATAAAATCACCAAAAACATTGTAATAATACGAAATGTTCCGATTGTATGCTTGGATGTTACCGCGGAGGCTGGCTGGTAAACAATGCCACCGGCGGCACATGTGAGGCTGGCTAAGGGCGCACATTGGACGCGTCTCGGACGAAGAGCGGTGAGCGGGTTTTTGAGCGGTATGCGAGGCAAAATTTTTGCGATAAAAGCGAGCGGTATGCGGATTAAACGTTATGTGATGCCAACGTTATGCGGGGGTCCACTGTATTTGAAAATATGTAAAAAATAGATCTACTTTTGTAGCTACGAATTTGAACGTCGATCTGTTTGGACCGTTTAAGGGTTAATAAGACCACGTCGGTAAATGAATTCATTGCTAAGTGAGGAGCATACTATAATGGTAGTGGGTTTGTGTCAACCATCTTTGATATTGTTTTAACGTCACCTTTGCACCATTTATAATATTTTTAGTATAATTTTTAATGTTATATAGGAGTGTACTGTATATTGTTATAAACAGAATAGAGGAAATCACCTCTAATATACATTATTTAGGTATGCATGCTGGTCAGAGAGCCCGTCGTAAGTCTGAGTCGTCAGTAAACGAGTACGTCGCTAAGTGAGGAGAGGCTATATTCACAAATTTCCTTTCAACTACTGATTTACACCTCAAATTTACATATAGTTACTGATTTACATTTCAGATTTACATTCAGCTACTGATTTATACTTCAAATTTACATTCAACTGTTGATTTACATCAAGTACTTATTCCCAACTCATGTTTCAGGGCCAATGGCTACGAATCAACCATAAGGATGCAACTAACACCAGATCACATCCCAGCAACCCTGCGTAGGATACACTTGAGGATAGTCCTTGAAGGAACTCTCTTTACCAGGGTCTTCGAGGCTGACCCCAACATTAAGTTCACCTATGCTTGGGATCGCCTCAATGTGTACAGGTAAAGTTGGACATCAGTGGGTTGGGTAAATATTTTCATTAGTGGATTTGAGAAGGATTTGCCTAGTATGGTCCAGTAGACCTACAACAGTGTTCCTCCATTCTCACGTTGTTATATAAAAGCGTAACTGTACGTAAATGGTATACAGTACCAACAAGATAAGGAATTAGATATATGTGCAATATCTGGTTGTCTTTATTGGTAGACATTTTACCATCCAGTGGTTTTATCAGTACAAGGACATGATGTCAAATGATTTAGATAAAGAAAAATTGGATATCACATTGGAGAGGAGTATGGAGGAAGTGAGTGTTTTCAGATATTTGGGAGATGAAGGATCAGGTTTACCATAGAGTTAATGAAGGAAAAAAGGTGGTGGTGCGTTGAGGTATATGTGGAGACAAAAAATGTTATCTATGGAGGCAAAGAAGGGAATGTATGAAAGTATAGTAGTACCAACACTCTTATATGGGTGTGAAGCTTGGGTGGTAAATGTTGCAGCGAGGAGGTGGGTGGAGGCAGTGGAGATGTCCTGTCTAAGGGCAATGTGTGGTGTGAATATTATGCAGAAAATTCGGAGTGTGGAAATTAGGAGAAGGTGTGGAGTTAATAAAAGTATTAGTCAGAGGGCAGAAGAGGGGTTGTTGAGGTGGTTTGGTCATTTAGAGAGAATGGATCAAAGTAGAATGACATGGAGAGCATTTAATCTATAGGAGAAGGAAGGCGGGGTAGGGGTTGTCCTCGAAAAGGTTGGAAGGAAGGGGTAAGGGAGGTTTTGTGGGTGAGGGGCTTGGACTTCCAGCAGGCGGGCATGAGTGTGTTTGATAGGAGTGAATGGAGACGAATGGTATTTGGGACCTGACGAGCTGTTGGAGTGTGAGCAGGGTAATATTTAGTGAAGGGATTCAGGGAAACCGGTTATTTTTATATAGCCGGACTTGAGTCCTGGAAATGGGAAGTACAATGTCTGCACTCTGAAGGAGGGGTTTGGGATATTAGCAGTTTGGAGGGATATGTTGTGTATCTTTATACGTATATGCTGCTAAACTGTTGTGTTTTGAGCACCTCTGCAAAAACAGTGATAATGTGTGAGTGAGGTGAAAGTGTTGAATGATGAAAGTATTTTCTTTTTGGGGATTTTCTTTTTGGGTCACCCTGCCTCGGTGGGAGACAGCCCACTTGTTGAAAAAAAAAAATCTTTATCAAGTCGCATCTGTTTGTGGCTTGATAAAGCCCATTGTGTGAGTGAAACTGTGTCAATAAAGGATCGCATTATACTGCATTTGTGTTTATTTTTTCCATTATGTCAATCTTGACGTTTCATCATGATCCTTCAATTTGTCTTTCTGAATACCTCTATGATAAGATATATTTGTATTCTGCAGGCAGCGGGTGCTTGGGGTGACAGTTGCCCGAGTTTCGGTGGGATACGAACATGCTTCGTGTCCCAAGATCATCTGGGAACACCAGACAGCCAGGGTAGCAGGCAATGACCTCCTCATTTCCAAGGTGGGAGGGTTCAACCTTCACGTCCATCATGCTTACAATTACCACCAAGGTAAGTAACACTATTCTCCATGGGGAAGTGGAACAGAATTCTTCCTCCATAAGCCATGCGTGTCGTAAGAGGCGACTAAAATGCCTGGAGCAAGGGGCTAGTAACCCCTTATTCTGCATACATTACTAAATTTAAAAAGAGAAACTTTTGTTTTTCTTTTTGGGCCACCCTGCCTCGGTGGGATATGGCCGGTTTGTTGAAAAAAAAAATGTGCAACAGTTGGGTATCTTTCCCCTACATAATGGGATTCTTCAGTCAGATACACAGGGAGTAGGAGTAGTGAAGAAAGATGGTGTAATCAGTCCATCGTTCCAGACCATGGAGCTGAACTCTTCTCCAGGCTGAGGGACTGACCACCTCAAATACTTTTTCTCCAAGGTTGATAGACTGATTACATAATCTTTACTTCACTAATTCTATTCCCTCTGTTTTTGACTGAAGAAACCTACTGTAGGTGAAACATTTTGTGAATAAAGATACGCAACTGTTGCACGTATCTTAATCTTCAACTTGTCGGTATTTTACACTATTTTCGGCATTCTTCAGTCAAATATAGAGGCAGCAGAACTGGTAGATACCAAGACAATGCAAGCAGATTGTTAGTATGTTGTTCTTACTTGAGTAGCATTGAAAGTGGGCCAGTAGGCCTGCTGCAGTGTTCCTCCTTTCTTATTTTCTTATTGACAAAATATTTTACCTGAGTTTCATCATCATCAGTCGAATACGGAGTTGAATTGCAATACTGAAGACGCTAGAAGAATCAGAGAAGGAATTTCAGGAAATCAGTCCCTCAGCCTTGATGGAAAATGGTCAGTCTTGTACTAAACATGAATAAAACATGTGCAATACTTTAATATCTCTATTGTGGGCACTTTTCACCAGCAAGAGGCTTGATCAACACACACACTCACATGTATGTTTTATTCAATTCTTTGTGTGTTTAAATAAACAGGTGAGTATACACACACACACACACACTGGTAGGAGACACATCAGTGCACATGTTTATGACACCCTTAACAATGTTTCGACCCATGATTCTAGCATCAAAACCGGTGTGTTGACTTGTACCATCATATTCACCTTTCTATCACTTCAGATTCACATACACTGAAGTGACTAAGGTCCCAGGGGCAAAATGTTGTCAATAAACGTATCATAAGTGAACGATTTTGTGCGCATTTTGCTGAAGATGTTGACAGCTGTTTTCTTACTAAAATATATAAATATACACTGCAAGCAAAACAAAACACTGAGAACATGTTTTGACTGAAGAAGCCATTTCTGGTGAAATATTTCCTTAGTAAACAGCATTTTTAATTCCCCATGAACATTTCATTGTTTAGGTTCACTATGAACATTCGTGTCTTCCTTCCCTACAAACGTTCAATCCCGGCCGGGGGTATGGTTGATTTCTCTCTCTTGTTTTCAGGTATCTTACAGAAAGGCAACGGGCAAAACATCTATCTAGCTGGACAGAGACGCCTGGTCACCACTCTCCTTGGCACTGGTGAACAACGTGAAGTCAACTGTGGGGAGAGGTGTGAGGGGAGAGCTAATCTTTCCCCTCTGTTGGCACCCACCTGTCTGGCTTCCGCTCCTGATGGCTCTCTATATGTGGGAGATTTCAATCTTATCCGTCGGGTGAAGCCAGATGGAACAGTGATCACTGTTGCCAGGCTGAAGTGAGTGTTATTATCACTGTACACACAATACTGTGAGGTCTGAATGATGTAAGACAGTGCCACATCTGTCAAAAACAGATATTTTCGAACAGTTGACTTTCGACCTTTCTTATATCTCTTGCTATCTATTCACAACCCCTCTTACTGTCTACTCACATCTTACTATCTATTTACAACCTCTTATTGTCTATTTACAACCTCTCTCTTACTATCTATTTACAACCTGTCTCTTACTGTCTATTTACAGCCTGTCTCTTATTGTCTATTTATAGCCCATCTTCTACTGTCTATTTACAGCCTGTCTCTTATTGTCTATTTACAGTCCATCTTCTACTGTCTATTTACAGCCTGTCTCTTACTGTCTATTTATAGCCCATCTTCTACTGTCTATTTACAGCCTGTCTCTTACTGTCTATTCACAACCTCTTTTACTGTCTATCCTCAGCCTCTGCTACTATACACCATCACATAGTATGATTCCCAGTCATACACCACAGTATGATCCCCTGTCATATACCACACAGTATGATCCCCTGTCATACACCACACAGTATGATCCCCTGTCATATACTACACAGTATGATCCCCTGTCATACATCACTCAGTATAATGCCCTGTCTTACCCCACACAGTATGATCCCCTGTCATATACCACACAGTATGATTCCCTGCCATACACCACACAGTATGATGCCCTGTCACACACCTTCACACAGTATGATCCCCTGTCATATACCACACAGTATGATTCCCTGTCATACATCACTCAGTATGATGCCCTGTCTTACCCCACACAGTATGATCCCCAGTCATACACCACACAGTATGATCCCCTGTCATATACCACACAGTATGATTCCCTGTCATACATCACTCAGTATGATGCCCTGTCTTACCCCACACAGTATGATCCCCAGTCATACACCACACAGTATGATCCCCTGTCATATACCACACAGTATGATTCCCTGCCATACACCACACAGTATGATGCCCTGTCACACACCTTCACACAGTATGATCCCCCGTCATACACAGTCACACAGTATGATCTTCTGTCATACACCATCACACAGTATTACTGACAGGTGTCCTATAACTATACAGATATGTAGTAAACTGTATACACAAAACCAGCCACATTAAACTGTCATTTTATGCACACAGACTGGGACTCGAACCATGGTTCGGTTATTCATAGTAGAGATGTATTGGATGTGAAAATTTAGATGTCCATAGATGCGGATGTGTATGAGGATGTCTTACTTATTTTGCGGATGCAGATGTAAGAAATTGTGCGGATGCTCCGCGGATGTTGATGTGGATGTAAGAAATTGTGCGGAGTTCTGCAGATGCGTATGCGGATATCTGTTTGCAGTAAAATGCAGAGGCAGATGTTTCACAGATGCGGTTATCAGATAAATCACTAATTCACAGTACCACAGTTCGAATCCTCTTCCATTTGTTTATATGTTTTAATGTGTGAATTTGTTGTTCGAATTATTTTAATGGATTGTATGACAGAGCTTAAGTTACACAAATAACCCGCACATAAAAGACAGAAGCTTACGACGACGTTTCGGTCCGACTTGGACCATTGACAAAGTCACACTTTGTCAATGGTCCAAGTCGGACCGAAACGTCGTCGTAAGCTTTTGTCTTTTATGTGCGGGTTATTTGTGTATCGTTCCAGTCACGGTATTGTGCCTTTTTGTTATTTAGAGCTTAAGTTGTATTCTGGTATAATTCAAGATCTATAATTACTTGAGGAAGTATTATTTGTATCTAGATGGCTGTGTGTTTTTCTTCCGATTGGAGATTGAAATTGAGATTTAAATGCTCTTGTGGTAAGGCAGGTAGTGCACAAGTGATGGTTAATGTGTTTTTTCTTTTATTTTTTAAATTATGATTTGTGTTTGATTATTTTCTGTGTATTGGAATTGTTATTAGGTCAACAGACACACCACTAACTCTTCTCTTCCTATCCCATATAGTGAGACACGTGTATCATACCGGTACCACGTGGCAGTGTCACCCCTGGATGGGTCAGTATACGTCAGTGACCCCGAGGCTCACCAGGTGCTGAAATTGACCTCCACATCCAGTGTACTCGACCCCCACCACAATGCTATTGCCGTGGCAGGCTCTGGTCAACGCTGCCTTCCAGGTGACAGGAACAAGTGTGGGGATGGTGGATATGCTATCCACGCCAGGCTTACCTATCCTAAGGGTGAGTAGTGTGTGTGGGATAGTATGTTATCCATGCTAGGCTATTATATCCTAAGGTTAGTAGTGTGGGATACTTTGTTATCCTTGCTAAGCTATCCTAAGGTTAATAGTGTGTGTGGGATAGTATGTTATCCATGGCAAGTTAACCTATCCTAAGGTTAGTAGACTAGGGATGATGGGTCACAATGGGTTTCATTGGGTCACAATGGGTTTCAATGGGTCACAATAGGTCACAGTGGGTCACAATGGGTCACTGGGTCACAGTGGGTCACAGTGGGTCACAATGGGTCACAGTGGGTCACAATGGGTCACAGTGGGTCACAATGGGTCACAGTGGGTCACAATGGGTCACAGTGGGTCACAATGGGTCACAGTAAAAATGAAAAATGAGAATGTTTATTTCCTTGCAAAGCTTGCAATGTGTGGTTTACATAATATAAAATATTAATTACAAGGAAGGCCTCTAGCATGCCTAGGTATTTCGGGCAGACAATAGGTCGCAAGTGGGTCAAAGTGCCCATCCACAGACCTGGCCACGGGGGCATCGATCCATAAAACTCTCTCTGGGTATCCTGGGTATACACACTGGAATAAATACATATAGATGTCTATGCAATAAGATCACAGTAAGCAGGTGATATCACAATATGCAGAACAATCACGGTGAAAAATAGTGAAATTCCAAGTGCTTTCATGACTTCTCAAATTATCAAGGCACTGTGGTTCCTTGATAATGTCAGAAGTCACTAAAG